AGAATTCTAGAATGACAGCGTTTTGTTAATTTTTGTTTTCCTGACCGTCAAACGAAGCTCATTAGTCGATCGTTAACCAGTAAGATTAGAATGTCTTTTTTTTGTTGTTGTTTTATACAGGACTTTGGCTTTATATGCGTGGATAGCAGCGTAAACAAGACCATGAGCATTCAATCGTCGCATCATGCACCTGTTGCGCTTAACTGTGAAAGGAGTAAAACAGAAATTAAGTCTATAAAAGGAATAAAATAAATAGGATCACACAAAATATATAATAGGCTATAATATGATTAACAAAAGGGAAAAAACCACTGTGCAACAAGTATAGGCTACGGTCGTTTTTGTGACACTCTTAATGCATTTTATTTCTTTTCTTTGTCTTTTCATCGTCTGTTTGATTACGTCTTTAATTGATTTTTTCGTACATTTCTGACAGTACATTAACTGACAGTCACCACTGATAAGCTACTACTAAATATTGTAGAAACGTAATTTTCTGTAAAGTTGCTTTGCAACGATTTGTATCGTGAAAAGCGCTATACAAACAAACTTGAATTGCATTTAATTATGTCTTTATTTGATTAAATCCATCTGATCGCACAGGCGCCTCACGCACACACAAACAACACTAGTTCTACCATTGCCTGACATTTTAGCCATTCATCATCAAACTAAAATGCAGTCAACCAAACATAAAAGTTACACTGTTTATTTTAAAAGGTCCGCTGTAAAATCAGCATGCAGTGCCCAAACAAACATTTTTTGCGCATGTGAAGGATTTTACACGGATATTAGAATATGAGTGAAGTATAAAGCCATGTTTAGGCTACATAATGAATAATAGTTATGCAAACAAATGTTACAAATATGGCAAAAATGGAAACATTTGGATTCTTGTGGTATGAGACAGGCTCGTGAGCCCAATGCCGTTTCAGTTTTGTTTGACTTTATATGCTGTTTATAATGAATGCCACTATAGCCTAATTAGTTTTATTTTATAGTTGAATATATAATTTTATAACTACTTATTTTTCGTTCTTGTTCTGTTCTGAATACTGTTAAATTTAAAATATTTGTTCTAGAGTTAGGGGAACTAAATAGGCTGTTTATATTTACGAGTAGCCTATTTTAATATACATATAAATTACATAAATTAATGTAGCCTAATTGTTTGCAATTAGGTTAACGGGTGTTTTTGGAGTAAGATCAATTTCTCTTTGACGAGATTACTTCCTCTTTTTGGCCGGGTTTCGTTTCTCCGTGTCGTAAACTCTAGGGCGAGGCTTCTAAACCAGGGCGTTTTTAGGGGCGTGATATTCAAATGACGATTGTTTTCTGCCGCCACATTTATCAACATACGATCATTCGTACGATCAAATGATGATTGTTTTCTGCCGCCACATTTATCAATGTGCGATCAATCGTACAATGAGATTGGGGCATACGAATGTTTCATGAATCACACGTGAACTCTGTCTTAAGTTGATTTGTGTGCACGGATCTGCGCTCGTTTCTACGTTAGATTGATATATGAGGCCCAATGACTCTTCTGTGTGGAGTAAAAGCACAAATAAAGCACGTCACTGAGGATCAGCTTGATGCAGGTATATTTCCATTTTTTATCTTAGTGGTGTTGAGGTTCAGCAAAATACAAACTTTAAGCAACAACACTACCACAAAACATAATTGAGGAAAATTTGTCAGTAGCTTTTTCCTCACTATTCAATTACTATTTTTTAATGGAATATTGCACTGTTTATTATAAATGATTTATCTGTGGACATCATTATTTTTCAAGTCATGTGGTCTGAAAGGAATACCCCATTTAGCAAACTGTCACTCACTGAAATTGCAGCAGTTAGCAAACAACAATGATCCAGTCAGTTCCCAATGGGAAAAAAAAATCAAGTCCCGCCATAGATTTTTCTCATTCAAAAAGCTGTTTCACTCAAATATACGTCACAGTAGAGAAGAAAAGATGATCACAGATTCCATTTAATGTCAACTTCAAGAAAATTCTGCACTTTGTCATGTACCTTTGAACAAAACTGTGGCTCAAAAAAGAGATAAACAGTACTAACAATTTCAAATGATTGAATATTTTACCCAGTTTCTTTAGAGTTTGTTCAGGAACTGAAAACTGATGTTAAAATAACGTTACCACAGTAGCTTTAGTTGATCAGCAGCAATTATGATCCTTCTATTGTTTTGGCGAAAATGCAAGCATTTCGCAGTCCCATCTGTTTTAGTAGACATCTTAACAAACCCAATCAGCATATTCTGCATATTCAGCATATTCACACTAGGCAGGAAAACTAATTAAATTCTGCAAGGTGTTTATATTTTTATATAATACTTAAATGAGGTAAAAAAAAATGTTTATATATATTTGCCTTTTGTTCATGATGGAGACAAGAGATTCGACTCAAACTCTACATTTCTCCCATGGACTACTTAATGCGTTGGGAGTAGCTTGAAGCCACAACTACTAAATCTCAACCAAAAAAGAGTTTGCAAGCAAAAAGGGAAAGTGACAGTGCCCGTAATAAAACATGAATCAAGATGGTTTGCATTTACAAAACAATGTTTATGTTGTTAACTATGCCAATTTATAAACCAGTTACTACTTTTGTCTATTTTGCTTATAGTCTTTCTAAGTTACAGTTAATAACAACAACATATAAGTTATACTGACCTGCTCATAAGACATTTGTTAGAAATTCATCTTTCGTTAGTGACATTCGCACTTATAAGGTGCTCATCTGTAACCAATAGCACAGCGGTGCACCTCAAGCCATCAGATTCATCCGCACATAGTAGCGGAGCCAAAGCACAGCTCTCATAATTACCAAAATCTCTGCAAGTAACTTGTCATTTTATGCTTCAACTTCTAGAGGGCCAAAATTTACATAGCCTCATATAAAGATTATATGATATTTAAAACAAATTTGGGGTGGAGTCACAGGAGTGTGGTAAGCACAAGTTTATGTACCGTTGCATTGCATTGTGATTGACAGGATTAGATAACCCATTCATCCTGCCTTTCATGTCAAACCTTTCATGTCAAACTATGGTAGCTTTGAAGCAGGTGAAATGGAAATAAAAATGAAATAATGGGGGAAAAACTATGGAAGCATATAGGTAGCGAAATTCAATTTAAAATGCAATATGCAAAATGGCAATGCAATATTCAAAATGGCAACGCAATATTCAAAATGGCATTATATTTCTGTATTTAACTATAAATGGACATTACAAGCATTACAATAATGATAAATAAAAAAAGGTTTTGTATAATTAATTAATTTAAATTAATGTTTCTAATAAGCACATTTATAACAGAACCTCAAGTAAACTACATGTTATTTTGTTTAGTCATGGTGAAGCTACAGGATTTTTTATTTTTATTTTTTTAAAGCATCATGGGAACCATTGTTTCATGGCCAACTCTTTCTAACAGCTTGAGCATGCATTAGGATGCTATTGTGTGAATTCTCCAGTTTTCCCTATCTTTATTTTTTTTATTATTTTATTTTGAAGTAACCGAGGCTGCATGGGTTGCTTTGAGAGGATTAAACTGCAACACCTCCAGGCGAGGTTTGCTCATCGTAAAATTTGTTTGAGCATTTGCAGCTTCTGTTTCACAGCCAGATGGCTGAACAAATCTGAGTTTAACACAAACAGGGTGCAATGTTTTCCTCAACAGTATCTTTTTAATGATTTTTATGATTTATATGGTGGGATACCTCTTCAACTGCTCTTGATCTATGACTTGTTTGATTAGTCTAGCAATACAAATGTCGCCTATGTGTGTTGTATGTGTTGAACAGCAATGTGAAGTGTGAAAAAACTTACAAGACAGTAAAATGTGTCTTCGTCTGTTCCCACCCTAGCTGCTCTGTAAATAAAAGAGGGTACATTTCTCTGCATGCATTGAATACAGTTATCCAGGGTGAATTCAAATGCTATAATACATCTGTGGAAATGAAAATGAATTTGGTGGCTCACTTTACAGTGCCTAATCAGGTAAAAGCATTCTCTCTCTCTCTC